ACAGCGTATGATGAGTAAGCCAGTCTCTGCTGCATTCATATATAAACAACATGAAACTGAAGTGACATGGTGCATGCGGTATCTAAGACACAGGAAGTATTATTGTTCTGATTAACAGTGGCAACAGCCCAGCATGACTGTGACACACGGCTTATGAGGAAATGAAGTAACTTGAAACCCCTTAGTGCTCCGATTGTTGTGATGGCTCAAACAGAGCCCGTAACTCAGTCTGACCACACACATACACATATGTTTTTGAGTCGTGTGAATTTGCAAGGAAGGTTATCCCAAACATCTCTAATAGAAATCCATAAACGCACGAGATATCATAGAAGAAATATGCTGCTAATTCATCATATTTTTATTATTCCATTACCATGGTACCCACATAGGGCCCATCCATGACACTTTGGTTCTCCTCAGCCAGGGCCTTGATGTAGCGCTTGCTGAGGTCCAGGATCTGCTGCCTCAGTACAGCGCTGTTCTCGTGGCTGGCTCGCTGCTGGATGGTGAAATGCAGCAGCATCATGCCCCAGATGAACCCAAAGCTGACGAGGAAGAAGCCCAGCTTCTGGGATGACAGCTTCCACAGGAAGGGTGTAGCCATGCTGACTTGACAGGGGGTTGCAGGGAGCTGCTGCGACTCTGATGTGACCGAGGGAAGGTGCAGAGGTGAGGGAGGAGACTCAGGAGGGCAGGCGGGGCATGGTGGTGTCAGTCGGTGTAGCGGTGCAGTGGTTTTTTGGGGGCTGGCGTACGGCTTGTTTGCCTCACCGGTGTGATTTCCTTCTCTGACCCATCCTCATCGCTCAGTAACATCTCAGGGGACTGACTCCAACCTGTTGCATCCTGCAGAGAGACAGACACCGGAAAGAGAGATAAGTGGTCAGTTGGTGGGTCTGATAAACACAGATAATGAGGGCGTTCCTCGCCTAAACCAATACCACATGTACACAATAAACAAACCCTCATAATTGGACAGTGAGTCAGCAGTGTTAGCTATAATTCAGACTATACAAAGAATAGTCAAAATAGTGAAAAATGTCTTGCCTTACAAGTTCAGAGAGCTCAAAACCAACATCTTGATATGGCTTGTTTATTATTATCTTTAACACGTATTATTTTAAAATGATATAAAAGACAGATGATGAGTGAATCCCCATGTTTAAGAAGCTGGATATCTGGTTATTTGTCTTTAATACATGACAAACAATTACTCAATTATCAAAGTTGCTGACAGTTCATTTTCTGTTAACTGATTAATCAATGAATGGATTGCTCCAGCACTACACTGAGGTCAATAATCTGTCTATATGACAAACCATTTCGTTCAGGCAGAAACACAGCAAAGCCTTGTGCCTTGCTGTATAAGGCAACGGATGGATTTTCAAAGGGTGAGAAACAACTTCACACACAAAGACCAGACACTAAAAATGGTAACGCATGACGCCACAACTGCTGAAGATCACGTAGATAGGAAAATAAGGAACGAGCTATGAATGCACACATCTGCAGCCTGTAACTTTTGCAGCACACTGCAGCCAGTCTATACCTGCAGCAGAGCACACAGCACAGAGGCACACTGTACCTGTAACTGGAGGTCGCTGTGTGTGGAAGCTCCTACGTAGGGAGCAGGATGGTGACACACCAAAATGTGTTCATTTGATTGAATGGCAGAGGTTGAATGGAGGCACACAGTACAGATTTGAATCACACATATTACACAGGGCCACTAAAAGCTTCTCTTTCAGAAAGGAGAAATAAGTACATACAGTGTGGTGTAGATTAGCTATAGAGACTAAGCAGGAATACTTGCTACTGCTGGATAAACACAGGCAAAGTCATTTAAAGTTTAATGCTGCTATGGCTCTTGAAAGAGAGGCTACACAGAACAGCCTCATCTCACAGACAGTGTGAGCTCTGTGATTGATGGGGCTGTAGGGAATTTATGCAAGAGGGTTTATAGTTCCCTCGAAATATAAACATTTGGATAGCCTACTATTCATCTTCCTTGATGACAAGCGAGATCCCAAACAGAATTTCAAATACACGGTCTGTTACTACATGTTCTTGTTTTTGCCCACTGTTCAACAGGCTTTTCTGCAGTAAATGATGGACTGTGTGCGGCTGAGCATGTGTGTATATGACTGAAATGTGCAACGTTTGACTCTTTTACTCCCACTAAAGGAAAAACATATCTGTAGGAGGCAAAAGGTCACCACAGCAACTCTAAACCACAAGATAATGGTGACAAACGGCTTGTTTCGCCCCACCAATGGTCCAAAACTCAAAGATATTACATTTTCCAATTATATAAAACACACAAAAGCTGCACATCACAACATTTTAGAAGCAGAGAATATTTGGTATTTTTCTTGAAGGTTGCCTAAACGATTACTCAGTTATCAAAACTGTAACAACTGGGGCACCCTGGTGGTACCACAGCTAAAGTGTCATTTCCTTTCATATGCCTACTGTCAGCTCAGGCTTGCATAAAAGAAAAAGAGAATAACATTTCCTTTGATGAATAGCAGTTGGTATCTGTAAAGAACTGGTTTCATGTGCTCTTTGAGTTGAAAATGACTTAGCACATACTCTATGTGGTCAGTAAAACGATTAAAGCCACTTCTGTAAACTACATAGCTGCCCTCCCTCTGTGTGGTGCAGTTTGATACAATGGATAGTTATCTGAGCTGAGACTCATTTTAGCCAGATGCTGAAAAGGTGCCAATATGTCCGTCTACATAATGTTTCCTTCAGCTCCAACTCTGACTGTCAGTAAGCCGTGTGTGTGTCTGTTCGCTGTGATAACAGCAGCTGAAGTTACACTCAAATGACATGTTTCATTAAAGATCATACAGAAGGGGCAGTGGAAGCGCTTATCTGATCCCTGATCCATTAAACCACTGAATGTTCTATATTGACGAGGACGTGGCAGTGAGATAAGACACATCAAACGGTTGTCTCGCCCATAGTTCATAAATATGATCCATCCATGTGTTTATTAGTAGTTGTTAATCACTTTAGCATTTTAGCTGGCTAAGTTCTTCTTCTTCTGGTGGTTTTGGGAGTTACCAACCGGCTTCAGGTGCATTACCATCTCCTTCTGGACAGAACTGGGATCTGGCAAACAGACACATATATGTGGCTATAGGTTTATTCATCCATCACTACAGATGTGGACCCCGCGGACTCGCACGCAGACAGCAGACAGATGAGTATATTTACCTTCAGTGGACCCATGTGGAGGCAGTAAGTGTCTTAAAGTCCATCTCACTTTCAAGTATAAATGAGGCCACACTGAGTAACCCACAGTTGCTGATTGAGCAGATTCAAAAAAAATGTAAAACCACAAGCTATTCATTTCCTGTCCCTGCAACTTGCAACCTGCAAGTGTCAACAGTTGCCCCTTATCACAAGTCCCACTCTTTCAGTCCAGTCCTAAACCCTTTAAGGCTGCTACTGACTATGGACAGTTGGTTGTAGACTTACGTTCGAGCAACAGAAAACAACTTCACTACAAAGTCCCATATTATCAGTGCAATGGCAATAAGGTATTTCATCTCGTGTTGTTGCCCATCAACGCTGCACAGAAAGCACCAGATGTACAACAGTATATTAATATGCTTGATCAGAGGATATAATTAGTTACCTATAAAGTGGTAATAATCTTAAAAATCCATGCCTGCATATTAAGCACAAATCTCATTTCTAGGTAAACCTTATACATTATAGCTGTCTGCTGAATCAATCATAGACAAATACCCATCAGGCCACTTAATAAACATTAAACTGCAATGTGCTATTTTCATTCTTGCCATATTGAGTGCTGATTGAACACAACAATGCCCAAAAACATTGGAACTTTTGCCTAGAGCAGAAGAAAGGCAGAGACCTGCAGCACTTATGAAGCAGCTAAATAGTTGAACAGTTCCTAACTGACAAACACAGGGCAAGCTATTCAAGCAAACAACTTTGCAGCATGCAATCAAGCCACAAGAAAAAGATGTGAGATCTTCACTCATCTGCATTCAACCGTTGTAGCTGTAAATGAGGGTAAGTGTGGGGAGGGGATTTCTGCAGCCTTGCTTTTGAACTGCGTCTCTCTCATGCTCTCTCAAAGCAGCTCTAACCAGGTCAGGAACAAAGCCGCCTCCATGGACGCAGCGCATTAAACGTCTTCCACCTGTCCCTATTTGAATCATCGTATTTATTGATCTGGACGGTCAGTATGCACAATGACGCACAGCACAAGATATCAGCACTGAAGTGTGTGCACCTTCCCAAGAAACACAGAAGGCAGCCACACAAAGGGCTCTTTTCACCTTCCATCCATCAGCTTCAGAAATAGGTCAGAGACAGCTGCGAGCAGCTTCCAACAGGGCTGGAATCTCACAGCAGGTTATGACACACCATAATTGTTCAGTCATTTAAGACAAAGGCTCATGTCCGCTTTCTGTGCACAGAGAGACCTTTTTATACATTTTAACAAAGCACGGAGAAATCCTGTATTGTCTGATTCCTGTAGCTTTCTTCTTTTATATTTAAGTCTGATTTGTCTTATGATGTGTGCAACATAATGCTTTCAGTGGGGGGGGGAGAAATCTCTGCACTGCACTGTGAATTCATGAGACAAGCCCTTGGCAGTAGCGCTGTGCAATCTGCGGCGCTGATAACATCGGATGTCTCTCATTGCTCGGAGGAGCGCAGGAGAAGGCTGGCAGCACTCGCTGGTTTTGGGCGCAGACACGGATGGGAGGCTCTGGGGCTGTTTATCAGAGAGGAACGATGCTCAGACTGCCCTGTGGTACAGCGCAATAAGAAGCACGAGCCAAAGCCTACACAGAACACTGACTGAACCGCTTCAGTTTCCGAATACACACAACCTCAGTGGGAGCTGGCTCTCTTGTCTGGCCTCATTTTCTATGTCCATCCATCTTATTTAAGACTGAAACTGATCACACTCCTTTGTGTGCTCCCATCACAGGCACTGTCCTGTAATCTGTAAAGCAATGCATGCATCTCCTCTTAGTTACCTTCTGGTTTCTAATTCAGGATCTTAATTTGTCTGGCAGGGAGCCCTTTGGCTCTCAGCAGCAACAGCCCAATGAAAGTCAGAGAAAGTGTGTTGACAGCCAGCTGAGGTTGCAGAATATATGATCCTTCACAACTTGAGATGATAACGTAACAACCTGCTGAATGGTGTTTTCAGCAGTGCACAAAACCCTGTAGGTTCAAGAGGCAACAACTGAATCATTCAGGACTGGGAGGAATTACTGTCCCCCCAGATCTGCTACAAAGGACTTTTGCCTGTAAGGGACAACAGAGCTGAAATTTCAGCTCTAAAACTGCATTTGGTTTCCACTTTAGTATCGACCACACACTGTAGTACTGATATGCCCTTCCAGACATGAAAAGAGGACGGAAATAACAGGGAAATGTTTGAAAAGATGGACGGAAAAAGAAATCTGAAAAAAAGATGAAAATTTATTATTTTAAGTGACAGCCTAGTTTGCACTCTAAAATGACAGACTGCAGGTTTGATTGGATATCCTGGGTCCTTTTTCACACTATGCTCCTAATGAATTTTGTATTTTAATTGTTGCACTGATTACCTTTCTATTTAATCACTGCAGAAAGCCTTTACCAGAGTAGAGTGGAAATCTACTGATCCGCAGAAAAGACTAACTAATAATTAAGTGCAGCAAAGATGAATCTACATTAAATATAAATACAAAAACAAAACAAAGAAATCATTACCGGCGCAGCTGATTGCTTTTTAGTTTTTTGGATTGTTTTAATGGAGACCATCGGTTTAGAATCAAGGTGTGACAAGTGATTTACA